TTTTGTGTTTAACGGTACCCCTAAAAATATTTTTTTTAAAAAAAAGGGAGGGAGGGCACAAAGGAGGGAAGAAGTAGAGAGAGTAAGTAGACAAAAGTTTTGGATCTTTTTCTAATTAAAGTGAAATAATAAATGCAGCTGAAGCTCTTATCATGGTCACAAAAGAATCTGCTGTTTTTTTAAGTTTGGGAGTCAGCATAAATTATGACACAAAACATTGGGGCCACTTCTCAATTGCCCCCCAAACATTTATGATCCTCCCTTCTACTATGTAAGTCATATGTGTAAGGAAAAAATGTCAATTCTATTTTATAGATGAAAATATGAGTAAGGCACAGAGAGTTTAAGACCCTTGAGGGTCCATAAAGTGTTAGTTTTCCTGTTGTATGAGCCTCGTCTTCTACATATCAGGATGCTGGTTTCCATGAATGGAAAAATAATATAGTGGACATAATACCTTCATAAAGCAGTTCCAAATGCAGTTCTTAGGTGATCTAGTTTCACTGTTACTTAACAGTAATCCTTTCAATATATATATACTTGATGTAGAATGTATTCTTTGTAATATAGAAATGGCTGAGAAAGTACTTCCACTATAATTTCATATTTTGTTTGTTAAAATCTTTTGAAGAAATTATTTTTTTGGCTTGAAATTTCTCAGGCTTTATCTAAGCCTGCAGATGGTATCAGAAAAACTAAAGAAAATTTCACTCAGCTATTTTTCTGACACTGTGAATGTATATGAAAAAGATAGGGCCGGGCGCGGTGGCTCAAGCCTGTAATCCCAGTACTTTGGGAGGCCGAGACAGGCGGATCACGAGGTCAGGAGATTGAGACCATCCTGGCTAACACGGTGAAACCCCGTCTCTACTAAAAAATACAAAAAACGGGCGAGGTGGCGGGTGCCTGTAGTCCCAGCTACTTGGGAGGCTGAGGCAGGAGAATGGCGTAAACCCGGGAGGCAGAGCTTGCAGTGAGCTGAGATCCGGCCACTGCACTCCAGCCTGGGTGACAGAGCCAGACTCCGTCTCAAAAAAAAAAAGAAAGAAAAAGAAAAAGATAGTAACAGATATTTGGAGAGCGAGTTGCTGTTGTTGTTGTTGTTGATGATGATTATGATTATTCAATCCTATATTTGAAGAGCTCTTTATTATCTTTCAAGTACTTTCACACATATTATAGACCAAGGGAAGACATTAAAAGAGGTTTACAGCTATGTTACATTGACCAGATATTTGAGAGCTGTAGTTCTTCACCAGTGAAGACTTTGGTCAAATGCCTTTTAGAAACAGAAATATAACTTACAAACAGATTTTATATTCCTAATAATTCATCATAATATACATGTATATAGACAGGTGTGTGTATATACATATTGTGCATGTATATATGTATTTGTGAATATATATGTAAGTGTATATGTGTGTACTTATACAAACATACGTGTGATTGTGTGTGTGTAATCATTGAGAACTAAGGACAGTGAAAGTAAATTAGTTGGGAAAAATGGTATTTAAGAGAACAAGGCTTTAAAATATATACTTCTTAAATTTCACCCAGGACCATTTACTTGTCCATTCTTTCTACAATCATCACATAATTTTTGAGACTTCGTCATGCATCAGTCAATGTTCTAGACCCTGAAGAGACAACAGTAAATATATTGATGAAATCCTTTGCCTTTTTTGTTCTAGTAGAGGAGACAGACTATAAATAAGCAAGTAAATTGATAATATACCATGTGATGATAAGTACTATGAAGAAAAGTAAAGCAACATCAAAAGAAAAAGAGTTCTGGGAGATGGCTGTAATTTTAGAAATGATGGCCAGCAAGTCCTCCCAGATTAGTTGATATATTCTCAAAGAGCAAATGAAATAGGTGAGCCAGCCACATGAATGTGGAAGAAGAGCATTCCAGGCCATAGACATTATCGGTAAAGGTCCTGAGGCAGGTATATTCATAGAAGAACTAGAGCAGAGTGAATGAGGAAGTCGAGGTCAATGAAGTGATCAGAGGTTAAATAATAGTAAGGACTTTTGATTTGATTCCCAGTGAGTTGAGATTCCACTGGAGGTTTTGAGGAGAGAAGTAATAAGATCTGACTTAAATTTTTAAAGGAAACGGACTATAAACTGCTGGTGGTTTACTTTACCATATAGCATAAAAGTCAAATATCAGTGACTTAAACCCATGAAGCCTTGTTTTCCTATCACAAAGAGTAATTTCAGAGGCGGGTGGTTGAAACTCCAGAGTCATCAGGGTCCTGGTTTCCTCCTATTCTTCTGCTTTTCCATTCTAACTAACAAGTAGCATCATGGTCCAAAATAGAGGCTGAAAATGTTGCTGCTGTCACATTTATATACCAGCAAGTAGGAAAGAGAAAGAAGGAAGGGAAAATAGGGTGTACTTCCTACTGGGTGATCTCTACTTTTGGAAATTTCTCAGATGTTCTGCAGGGTACTTCTTCCATCTCATGGAAAGCCCTTAGCCACATAGCTATGTCTAGCTACAAAAGTGTTCAGGAAACAGAGTATTTCAGCTGAGTACATTGTTGCCACCAATGAAATTAGGGTTTTGCTACTAACGAAAACAAGGAATCAGAAACATGGGAACCAAATAAGGGGCAATTTAAGATGGTCTAGGCCAAAAATACGGTAGTTAAGACTAGGTTAGTACCAATGAAGTGTTGCTACATGGGACACATGTTGGAGATCCAGCCGACAGGGCTCACTGATGGGATAGTCATAGGAGGTGAAAGAAAGAAAGAGGTCTTGGATGCCTCCATGGTTTTTGGTCTGAGCCACTGGATGTATACAATTCCAACAAGTGAGATGGAGAATTTCCTCAAACTTTGATTTGTGTATATGTTAATATCTATGTGATCGCAATGTGTCTCAGACATAAATGATCTGCCCTTCACCTCCTCTCCACTCTCCAACTCTAATCTTACATAATTGACACCCAGATTACCCCACTATTCATTTGGCCTCACTGCCAGCATCACTTGTTTTAGAACCAGAAGTTTTAGTCTTTTATATTTACTTTCTAAGTATTTTTTCTTTGGTAATATTACATGTTACTGCAATGAAGTATTATTCTTCTTTTTTTTTTCTTGTACTTCACATAACAATCCTAGGCCACTCAATAAGCATTCACAAATTATCTGTTGAACAAAATTTGATGTGTGTCCTTGCCCTGTTCTCATTCTTTCTAGAAGTTATGACCTATATCTCTATAATAAAAACCTGAGTTTCACTCTAGGCAGCTCTGTTTTTTGCCAACAACTCCTGTATCTTATTTGTGTAGAAACCGGAATCTACTACTTAGCCTTACATCCTACCGACTCCTCCTCCCCAAGAGAAAGAGGAGATCCTTCAGATGACTTACTCTCCCTCTCCACAGGATGAGGGTTTATCCTTCCAAACCTAACTCACTTATCTAAATAATATGAGAGTGAAATATTGCCTAAACCAGAAATACTAAGAAAAAACACTATGGGATGGTGACAGGTTGGGGCAAGTATTGGGATTGCTCAGATATTTAAATCTTTAAGAGTGGGAAGTCAAATGAATGTTATACTTATCCTGCCTTTCTCCTACACTTTTCTCTCCTTCTGATGCCTCTTCTCCATTTTCAGCCTCTGGTCCTGTCAACACTATTTACCTGGAAGTAACAGTACATCCAGAGATTTAGTAATCCAAGACTTTCAGCTGGGAAACTTCCCCCAAATGGTAGTAGCAATATAAGCCCAAGACCTTTGAATGCCTGAAGGGGAGCCCATCCTCCTGCAGAATTTGATTCATATGGAGAAAGCCCTGGTTAAAGGCCTGCCAAGAGTATCTTTTCTCTGAAATGAGGCTTTAGGTCTGTAATTTTCCCTTGTCATTGCTGGTCCTTAGGTAGTTGATGACTGTCTATAGTGGCATTCCCATAGCCACTAGCTACAAACACACACACACACACACACACACACAAAGACAAAGACAGGGCAAGAGCCCAAGCTGACAGACCATTTTATCCCCTAAAGGGCACTAATTAACTGATTTGACTGAAAACTTCTCCTTGCTATACAAGAGTGAAAAAAATAGCTTCCAGAATAGAGAATGACAAAATGCCTAAATCCTCATTTAGTCTAAAAGAGACAAGTATTAAAATTCCATTAGTTTATCCCCTTTAAAATATTTTCTTTTTCCCCTCATGTAACTATGTTCTTACTTTAATAAGAATGAATGTTTGTGTGTTAAATGTATTTATAGTAAAGAACAGTGTTTTAGTGCAGAGTTTCATAGATATCCATAACTAATCATATCTCCCAAGTAATTTTCATTTGCCAATGAACAGAGGCACTTTGATAACTATTCCTTATTTTCTGCCACTAAAGTAGGCCATGATTTTTATTCTCATTTAGCAGATAAGGAAAGAAATGCACAAAGAGGTGAAATAACTGACTTAGCCATTTAAAGATGTGGTAGTAGAGTTGAAATTCAAAATCTCAGCCTCTTCCAACTTCCTAAACCCTAGAGCTATATAGCCGGTTTTGCAATAAGAAAGCCTATTTATATGACTTTCCATGGGACCAAGAAGTCAAAACCACAACAGGGTAAAAGCAGGAAGACATTGCTTTCTTGGCAGGGTGTTTCAAAGGCGGCAACGTTAACCAATTTCAGGGTATTTTGCTATATTGTGGGGGCTGTCCTGGATAAGCATGACTAAAAAGTGCTTGAATAAAGGAGCATATTCTTTGAGAACACTGTTAACCTTCTTGTTTTTGAAAAATTAAAATAATCAAGCTCTGTGCTTATTATAAGAGTCCAAAGAAAGGCCTTTTACTTTGAACCCTCTGACCACTTCTTCCTTTACATAGTAAAATTTCAGTTTGGTCTGAGGATAAATTGTCAACTAAGTTCTGGAACTTATCCAAAAAGTTTCCCTCCTCCCTCCCTCCTACAAGTGATATAATTACATAAAATAATATCACCAATCTACAAACTCCACAGACCTTTAATGAGCAGTAAGTTGAGGACGCTTGTGTTAGTGTCCAGCAGAAGTGATTGGCCATTCTCCACTGTGACATTGTCGCCATCTTGTGGCAGCCTTTCAGGAAACCAGCTGTGAGTCCTGGACCATCTCCGGCAGAACTGTAAAGAAAAGTTGCCCTGGAAAAAGACAGCTGGGTTAGTGGGTGGGTTGGTTGCTTGGCTGGTCCGTTGCTTCGTTGGTTCATTGGTTTGTTGGTTTATTGGTTCATTCACTGATTTTGGGTGGGATGGTATAAGTATTGAATCAAAATAGAAACTTCTCAAAGAAAGTAAAATTAATTTAAATATTTTAAATGTCTCCATAAAATTGGTTACCACTCTCTTTTTCATATGACTAAGCTAAACAGGAAAAAATACGAAAGGCAAAATTATATTTGAAGTTCTTCTGTGCCCAGCCCCTGGAATTCTCCAATAACATGCTGGTAATGTTTTCTTACCTTTTTTTTCCCCTGTAGCACAGGCTCCATTCTACCTAACAGATGAGGTTGATTCCATTTATTTTTACAGACATGTATTGAATCTTGGACAAAAAGTCATAAATAGCCTGGAATAGGGAGAATTAAAATGTTCTGCTTGATGGGTGGCATTTTGCTTTATGTAATTGGTATCATTTTTCACTGGCTCTACTGCCAAGAGTCCCTGTTTTATAGGAACATTCCTCTTCCCAAGTGCTCAGATCTATCCTCCCACTCGGCCTTTTTTGATATTATTGTTGCCTTTCCCCCTGTGTCTGGTGCATCAGGGCTGAACAAAGCCCATGCAGGCATAGGCAGAATGCCGACTGACTTCAGATGACAAGTAAACAGCCTGGAACCTTTGAGTGAGGGGTAGGGAGCCGTACTGACAGAAGGAGCCAGAAAAGGAAGCACTCCCTCTCCATCCCAGCCTTCAGTCCCTCTCTCAGAACTTTTGACTTTCCTGTTAATTTATGGTCACTCTGATGTCATATGTTTTTTAAAACAGGGACATAAAAATCACAGAAAGCAACATTCAGCTCATGCAAGAGGCTGGAAATATGTCTAAATGCCTTGTGAATTTGTGGAAGTATAATTACGATAAACACAATAAAATCACAATAGAGAAGGTGATTCCTTCAAGGTAATATGTATGACATGTGTAAGCCACTCTCTCCAGTCTTCTTCCCATTCGGATTCCAACCAAATGTGAAGCCCAAGTTCCTATAAAAATAAACTGTCCAGAAGGTCCTCTGATGATGTGTTACAGGCAGATGGGAAAAGATCATTAGAAGGGAAGGCATGTTTGTAATATCGACAACTACACCTACTCAGAGAATAGTGCTCTAGAGTATTTCTGAGACAGAAGATGGAAAATTGTGTTGCCAGAAGAGCCGTTACATTTTCCAGAAGAGGATACAGACCCCAAGGTCAACAGTGCTGAGATACAGACCCAACACAATCACTGAGAAGGCTTTGCGATTTATTCATTTTCTACATCTGCAAAGAAATAAAAGTCTATGACTCATCACAATTTAAGAGATGGAAAGAAATAAGGCATAGTGATGACCAGTTCCAGTATCACAGAAAAACGTATAGGTGACACAGGAGCATCATTGTGAACTGAAGGAACCATGCCCCCATGCTGACTATCTGTAGGCTACAAAAGTAGGAGAGAATTTTAACTCTAGATGATTTCACTATAGGACTAGCTTTAGGTTGGTAAAATAATAAACAGTACTTCTTATAAGGCTACATATATTATACATTCTTATAACCCTTTAATTTACACCTGTAGAATGCAGAAAGAGGAAAGGGAGGCAAATCAAAGGAAACTGGAATGAAAGAAGGTGGGGAAAACAGAGATGGTAAAGTAAACTGCAGAACAGGGTGAACCAGGTTATCTGTATTGTCAGCTCAGAGTCCATGATAAAAGGACTTTTGAAAAATCTTGGATTTCCAGAAGGCCAGAGATGGAAAGAACTCTAGCAAAATCCTATCCCATAATTTTACAGATGCTATTTTAGGCAGTGTTCCTTAGAGCTTAATAAAATGTAGATTCCTCTAGTGTCATCATATACCTATGAAATCAAAAGTTCAAGAATTGGGACCCAGAGATCTACAATTTTAATGATCCCCTCAGATGACACTTCTGCATCAAAATTTAAGGATCAATTCAGGGCAAGGGCTGGAGGGGAAGGAGATACATCTTTAAAAGGAACCAAGAAGTTTTCTCCAAACCAACATCCAAAGCTTAGGATCTTTGGCCAGGATCACCCAAAGACTAGCAAGCTGGGAAGGATGATGTGTTGGTGAACTATACGAAATATGAAGAATTCAGCAGCATAACCCTTTCTGAGACATTAACCTGGTGGTCAGATCCATAACCCAGTCACAGAACTGCGAAGAAAACTAGGGCTCATTACGCACACAGTAAAATGATCTGGAACAACTAGAAATTAGTTACATATTTAAGTGGGTCAAAGGTAGACTATTTCATGGTGTTATCCATTAATTAATTTGAGAACATTTTTAAATTTTTATGATTAGCACAGATATCTGTTATCTAGCTCTCAATAAGCTTTAGAGACTTTCTCGCTCTAAAGTACCTGCTTATGCCATTTGCTGCCTTCCATGTGCTATAACCTCTTGGCCTACCCTGTCAGCCTTCAAAGATTGCTGTACTTGGTCCCAACCCAGTCGGTGGAAAGGTCAAATTCTGTTATCTCTACTTTTCAGTGGAGGAAGCAAAGGCTCAAAGTGTTTAAATGATGTGGCAAAGTTCACAGTGATGGAGGCAAACTGGAATCATGAAAAGGAAGCACCCATTTGAAGTTTTTCCCTTACTGTGGCCTCTCCTGGGATGTTCTTTCCCAAAAGATCTGCATGGCTCACTCCCTTACTTAATTCATGCCTCTGCTCAAGTATCACCTCCTTACCTGTATTATTATTTTTAAAAAGCACCCCCAATCATTCCTTCTCCCCTAATAATGCTTCATTCTAGTATTAAATAATACAATTCCTTGCATATTTGATTATCACTTATTAAGCTTACTCAAATGAAGCAGGGACTTGGTTTGGGTCATTGGTATATCCCCACCTCCCTAAAAGATGTCTAGCACATAGTAGTTGCTCAATAAATGTTTTTGAATAATTTATTAAATGAATCTTATACCCGCTGGTGCCATACATGCTTTTACAGATATCTCACACACACACACACACACACACACACACACACCTCTTCCTAATGCAATAGGTGAATACACAGGTGCTAAGACCTTAAAAATGCTATATCCTCTAGGTCTTCTCAAACATTTACATTCCTTTTCATGTTTTCAAGCTCCATTTAAACATATAAACATAAACCAAATGATGAATAGTGCTACTTAATTGGAACCTGAGACTCAAATTCGATCTCATAAAATCGTTCGCCAATTTTTTCTTTTGCCTTAAGTTTCTGTAGTCAATGTGGCCAATGTCAAATGAATACAGGTGTTTAAGCATTCAGTTTCAAGAGACCTAAGCTTCTTTGTGCCCTGAATTCCCCTTAGCATAACAAAGATATCTTGAGATGTATAAATGTTTATTGATGTACTCATGCTTTTACACAAAATAATGACTAAATACTAAAAAATCTAAAAATTAGTACAGCCTCCACTGTGTACCAGCTACCTGGGGAAGTAGAAGAGCGGAATATCTCTATGATTGCAAGTTATCAGTGTAATCCATGATTACATGCACGTTGCCATAAGAATTTTAGCTCTCCTACATTTTCAGTTAACAGAGCTGGTGGTATCATTTCCTCCCAGCAAAATGCTCCATGAAACAGTAAGGATGGCTCACCTTCCAACATTTTCATCCTCCAATCCGTGTCACTTTGATCCAATCAAGAAAAAAAAAATGTCAACAGCATTGATTAAAGATTTTGTCAATATATTTGAGAATGTCTCTGTTGATACCAACACATTTTTGGTGAAGGCCATGTTCTGTGTCAACAACCCAGCTTACTTCCACCTAATATAAGCTCTTTCCTCTATAGTTCCCATGATGCTCAGCCTTTAGCTTTAGTGTTCTTCCTGGAGATAAACACATCACTCATTCTTATTCTGCAGATGAAGAAAATCATTTCCTCATAGGCATATGGGGGCAGGTGTGAAAACAGAGATACAAGAATTGCCCAGAACATGACCTCGTCTTTGCATATAGCCCCAAATAAACCCCAAAAAAGCAAGAAAAAAACTTTCCTCCCTCAGCTAGGAAGCTTATGCAATTTGTTTTCTTCTTACAGCACGTCAGCACTTCTCTGAACTTCATGGAATGTGCAGTGTCTGCAAATCTTACATGTCACCTTAAATGTACTTGCAACACCACTAGAGTTATCTTGAAAGAAGTCATTGATCAGCAAGTTGGAACACCCGGCAAAGCAAAGACCTATTTGTGAGTGTATGCATTGAGCTGGGGTGGCAGAGGAGGTGGGGTATGGGAATCTCTCTAATTACAGTGTCTCCTGACTGACAAGGACAAGAAAGAACTGTGCTGACACCTCACCAGAATGTCTTCTTCCTTAGCATCCAAATCCTGGAAATAGGAAAAGACAAGTCCCTGTAACCATTTTCTCCACTCCGTATCCTTCTTTATTTTCTCCACAGCACTCGTCTCTACCTAATACAGTGTATACTGGTTTATAATCAGTCAACCCCTAATAGAATATAAGCTTCACAAGAGTGTCTTGGTTTTCTGCTGTATCCCTAGTACCTACAACAATGCCCGGCATCTATTGGCTACCCCAAAAATATGTCTGAATGAATAAATGGTCAGCTCTTATTTGGACTTATTATGCCATAATGAAAAATACCTTAATAACTGAAATAATATGTCATGAAGCTATAATTTAATTTTATTCAGTTCTTCTTTACATTGAAATGTTTTAATTTTTATGAAACCAACTTTATTTACCTTTTTGTGACATTCTTCATTACATTATAGATAAAACATCCTCTTTCATCCTGACATAAATATCACTTAAATGTCCTTCTTGATTGGTGGGTTTTATATTTGCATGTTACTCCTCAACTAACTTACAATTTATGTTGATGGAAAGTTTTATACCTTTTGCTTCTTCTTATTCCTCGCTTTTTTCCCCAAAATAGCTGAGTGTCT